TCAGTATAACCCCATTTTCAGCAAACATAACCAGGGTTTATAATGAGAGGGCAGCAGAGTAGCAAGTCAGATTGTCAGCTGCTCTCTTTTCAGTGAACCATTTGTGAGTTGTTGTTTCCTTCTGATTGTTTATATTAAAGACTATTAAATTGAGTGACCTTTCCTATAACTATCCTGGATCACAAACATGTCCCTGTAAGATGAGGTTCACAGACAATTGAATGTTGCATTAGCTATTAAGCAGGGATCTGGGTTTTCCATTTCCCATGGAAAAATGGAGGAAAACATGGATTTCCCCCCTTACTGGAGTAAAATGTGGCTCTCTCATTTTAGCAGAGAAACCCATGAATCTTGCAGTTTTGCAATGAGCTCTCTGCAAGCTGGCAGAGTTCCAGCCTGTAGGGGGTTGGGGGGTGGGGAGCGGGAGGAGGACAGTCAGGCTGCCAGGCAACCTGGAGAGCAGCTCCTGCGGGTAAGTGGTGGGGAGGATTGAGGCCCCCGTAGGAAGGGAGGGAGTTGGTCAGGGGTGGGGCTACTGCCCAGCCGAGCAGTGTGGGGCTTGGGGCCTGGGACTGTAATGTGCAGCCACAGGGCCCTGGTGGAGAGAAGGATGGGGGTGTGGGTAGGTGGCTTATTTCCCTGCTATGTGCACACTCCCAGAGGGGTAGGGGGACCTGTGACTCCCAGCACTGTGCGTGCAGTGGAGTTGGGGCAGGCTGTCTGCTGGGGCTCAGGATCCCACCCTGCTGCCCTCTACCGGGGCCTCCACATCCTGGTGGCTGCGAACTGGCACGGCAGGGCAGAGTGGGGCCATGCAGGAAAGTTGCTAGCTGCTGTGAGATTCGTGCTGCCATGGCAATGTGTGCCATGCATGCAGGGGCGGCAGTGCAGGGTTGTGCCCCTCACTGCAGCTGTGTAGGCAAAGGATGCATTGCAATGTGGAGCTGGCAGTGGCAAGCAGCTTTTCTGCACACATTTGCTCTGCCCTGCAGTACTGGGTTGCACCTGCAGGGCTGCGGAGGGCCCGGCAGCAGGGTGAGAGTCCAAGCCCCACACACACATCTGGGGGGTACATATCCCCCCATTTGCTGGGAGTGCATGCAGTGGTGGGGTGCCACCTCCCCCTACCCAAACCTGCAGTAGGCAGGCAGCAGGTGAGGGGAGCCAGGCTCTGTTGCACTGCAGCAGTTGCCAGGGGCAGGGGGCTGTGGACCCAGTTGCTGGGCCTCAGGCAGGGTTGTGGGCAGGGGTGAAAGGCACCAGCAGAGAGATGGGGAGCCATGGGGTGGGGGTGAGAGGCATGAGCAGGGCTGGGTGGGGGCTGTGAACGGGGAGTGAGGGGCACCAGCAGGGTCAAGGGGGCTGTGGGGGGGGGGGGG